TCCTAGGGTCCCCTTTCTCTACATCCTCGTCAACACTGGTTATTTCTTGTTTTCGGATGACAGCCATTCTGACAGGGGTGCTCCGTGCTTCCTGTACCTGGATATCTGTTTCCCTGTTCAGGTTAGGAAAGTTTTCAATTACAATTTCACCAAATACATTTTCTACCCCTTTCTCTCTCTTTTTCTGGGACCTCTATCATGTGAATGTTAGCACACTTGACCTTTTCCCAGAGGTCCCATAAACTCTCCTCATTTTTTTAAACGTGTTTTTGTTTTTGCTGTACTGATTGGATGATTTCCACTAGTCTGTCTTATGTGTTCGTCTACATCGCCTAATCTGCTCTTAATTCCTTCTAGCGAATTTTTCATTTCAGTTATCGTATTCTTCAGCTCTGACTGCTTTTTGCATTTTCTAATTCCCTGCTGAAGTTCCCACTGTGTTCATCTGGTGTTTACCCAAGTTCAGTTAGCATTTTTATTACTATCGCTTTGGACTCTTTAGGAGGTAAATCTCTGTTTTATTAGGGGTTTTTTCCTGGGGTTTTATCTTGTTCTTTCATTTAAAACACATCCCTTTGTTTTCTCATGTTGTTTGACTTTCTCTGTTTGTCTCTATGAAATTAGGTGAAACGGTTATACCTGTCCAGGTCTCAAAGGCATGTCCTTGTGGGTAGCAACCCTTTGCAGTGTGCCTGTCACCAGTGGCTTTGGTGGGAGAGCTGGACGTGAAGTGAGTGGGGACTGCCTCTTCTCCCACAATGTGCTGGCGGCCACCGCCTTGGTGGGAAGCAAGGCTGGAGGCAGAGGGCTAGAGCCAGAGCCAGGTGCCAGCCAGGGCTTCTCCTCGGCTCAGGGCTAGTTGTTAGCCTATCGTGGGAGGAGTCACAGACCAAGGGGCTGGGCAGGAGTCCTAAGGGAGTTGGGCTTCCCCCAGATGTGATGACAGTCTTCACCTGGGTTGGGGGTGTGGCCAGGGCCTGAGAGCTTTGGGGCTGCACTTCTGAGCTGCTACTACTGTTTCCTCAGTGTGTACCCCTTGGTTAGAGGCAGGATAGAGAGCCAGAGGGGTTGGAGCCACGCTCCGGAGCTCTCTCTGCTCCTTCCCTGGTGCACGCGTGCCCACTGGCAATGGCGGCCTCGGCCTTTGTGGGGGGCAGTGCTGGAGCAGTAGGGGCTGGAATGGGAGCCTGGAGAGGGCTGGGAGGTGCTCTGGGGCAGTCCCAGCAGGCTGGCCAGAGCACCAGGCAGTCTTCAATGTACTGCCTCTGCACTGGGACTGAGAGCAAGCATGTTTGCGCTCTTCAGGGCCAGAGTCTCAGGTTCTTACAGCCCTCCAGTAAGCCCTACTGATTTTCAAACCAGCTAAGGGGGCTCATCTTCCCAGTGTCAAGCCCAGGCCTGCGGTGCCTAATTTGTGGCTCAAACCCCCTACTCCCCAGGGAGCATCCCCAAGCCTGGGACAGCCCCTTCCACTTCCAGGTCCCCACTAGGGATTCAGGTCGCGACTAGATTGTTTCTCCTCCCCCTGTACCAGACTCCATGTGGTCCTTTCTTTACAGCCTTGATCATAGAAGAGCCATTTTGCTAGTCTTCAGGTCATTCTCAGAGAGAGTTGCTCTATACGTAGTTGTAGCTTGGATGTGCTCCTGGGGGCAGGTGAGCTCGGGGCCTCCCTCCTCCACCTTCTGGATCCCACCTCCTAGACATGTTAGGACGGAGCCAAATGTTGTGGTTTTCTGAGCACAGAGTCAGGAGCTCTCCAGATCAGCTTGGGAAATATGTCTGTTTTCTGATTTCCAAAAACAAAATTCCAATTTTCTTCTTGTTTCCCAGGCCAACAACCCTAAGGTAGGTCTTAAGTCAGTGAGCAAACTTTCTTGTTCTCAGGGTTTGACAACCCCCCCACCCCACCCCCAGCTGCTGAATCTCCAGGGAAAACTTATTTTCTACAACTTACGTCACTGACATAGAATTACCTGGGAAAATGAGCATCAAAAGCTTATTCATTGACATAGAGTAAGCGTTGTCATCTCCCCTCTGCTCTGTGCATTTCGAGACCCTGAAAAGACAGCACAAGCTCACCAAGTGTTCTCACAGTATCGTCCCAACCACAGACCAAGCTGTTCCACTGTCTTCCCTAAATTCTGATGCTCGGAGAGGGCAGGAACTATGACATTTTAACTGTGGTGTCACCAGCATTTTGGGCTTTGCCTGACACATAGTACGTAGTTTTACCTATGGATGAATGAATGAATGAGTCAATGGATGAAAGAATAAATAAATTGTGTTGGGGACACTTTCAGGGAATCATGAGAGGACAGAAGACAGCAAGAGATGAAGAAAACGCCTATGGTAAGAACGTGCCTCACAACGCGTGTTTGCCCCCAGGTATGAGCTCCCGGTAGTAAGGGGGATGGGCTGCCTCAACACTGAACAGAGAGAAGCCCCAGAGGTTTCTCGATGCTGGGATGAAACAGCAAGAGCCCTGGGGCTGGCATTTGACCTAGCTCTGCCCCTCTGACCTGCTGTGAGATATTGAGTTCTTTGACTAGCCTGCACCTCCGTTCCCAAAGTAAAATGAATAAACCTCCTCTGATCTCCACAGGAGCGGGTGTAGAGGGAATCCAGCTGTATACTAGAGGGAACGTGATTCACCAGGTAGAAGGCGTTAGGGAACAAGGATGGAGGGTTAACCGGGTATCTTATTAGGCAGCAGGTTTAAGAGAGAGGAGAGGAAGAGGAGGGAAAGAGGGAAGGGGGC